TCAGGATTTCCCTGAGTGTGTATCAGATAATTTTGGACTTCTTCAACAAGTAAGATAGTTGGATCTTGTATATTATCACATCATCTTATGAACAAATATCAAATGTTCATCCAGATCACACTCACTATCAGTAACAAACGCCTGTTGGGGAACTAGTTTGAGGAACCCCAAACAAAGAAATTGATTCTGACGGCATTGCTTTTAGAAAGCAATAACCCATGTTATTATTTTGACATCTATACACAATGATTATAGTGAATGTAATAGACTATGAAAAATTCTTCTTTCTTGTTCTATTTCATAATAAGGCAGCAAACAACAGTAAATTTAATAAATAGGACTCTAAGGGGAACGAAAATTCAACAGAAAATCTTTCCCTGCTAAAACAAGAAACAAGGATTAAAATCTTTAAGCTGCCAACTAAAGCTTAAGTTAAATATTTGTGATCCAGGACTCATTTTTGAACATTAAAAGTTTCTTTTTCACCAATCTTCAAATCCTTTTGCGTTTCTCATAGAAACTACGCCATAAAAAGACAAGAACAAGTATCTAGATTTGTGCGTTTTAGAACAAAATGAAACAATAATTACAGACAAATTACATTAAAAAAGATCAAAAGAATTACCCGATGACTTAGATATCACAAACGAATTCGACAGTGCTGTCATTTTGCAATGATTTCACAGAGAAATTTTGGGTATAGCGGCGTAGTGAGCAAGGATTGAATAAAATCGAATGTGGTTTCTTAAACCAACTTACAATTTTGTTTCTTTCCACTTCGGTCGATGATATCGAGGAACGCCACGTGGCATGTAAAAATTATAGCAGGAGAAGATACTTTATGAAGCTTATGTTAGCCGTAGATTCAATAATCTCTCTGATGTTTATATTTTGATTTTTTTCTACAACCATTTTGCTTCAAGAAAAATGCCAGATGAGATTTTTATATTGGTTTTTTAAGTTATCTAAAATGCACTTTTATCAGATAATCACTATACTTCTATACTCCTAATTATATCTGAATAAAATATAAATAAAAGTTTTATTTTGATACCTTCATTTCTATTTACGCTTTTTAAAAGTACATCCACTTTCAAAAATAAAATTTTACTATATTTTAAAATATATAAAAATTTACTTAAATAGACATGAGTAATAATGAGCAATCTAAATAATATACGGGAGCGTTCCTCCTACGAAGCTTTTTGATAAGTGAATTTGACAAATAATATCAACCTTAAATTTAAATCAATTTAAAGGGCTAGGTTTTCTTGAAATCTTCTAAAATAAAATAAAAAAATAAAAAAAATTGGCACCCCCATCTAAATCTGCCAAATGGGCCTCATTGTAGATTAGTTCCTCCTCCTCCGCCATTACCCTTCCTTGTCACTCTAGTCATATTTCGGTTGATCTCATGACTTATTTAATCAATTCACCTCTTCGAATCACTTGAACACCAATGAGAGCTGTTCCAGTATTCATAATTCGTTGATCTATAATAGAAGTAGTAATACTGATGGAATTTTATTCGGGATTGTGAGATCTAAATCGGATGAAAACTGTAATTGTTGCAAGAGTTTGGAGGATCCCATAATTAATTCGAGCAGTTCATAGACATTCCAAGGAATGGGAGTCTAACAAGGGTTTGGAGAGTAAGAAGCCAAATACTAGTTGGGGTATGTATGATTAAAAAAAAAAACTGGATAATTGAAAAGAGTTTTTGGCCTTGACAGTGGTAAATTATTGTTCTTAGATGTTGCAGGCTACTGGCTTGCAGTTGGATAATTTGAAGTACTCTATCGTTTAGCAAAATTTGTCATATTATAGCTCCACGTAATACTATTGGACATAAATCCAAAACACAAAATGATTGTCAGCATGTCAGCCTTTCAATATATTTCTTTTGTTTATATTAATTTATAGACATTAACAACCCATGTTCGCCCAAAAAAACCCGAAGAAAAGGATATGTTAAAGCATGTGATTCTTTGGATTGATTAAGAGATTGAAATCATATTACTGTCGCTTAACTTCTTCCGTGCCTATTTCTGATATATGCGAATTTTGCATTTGTATAGTTTAGATGATGGTAGGCATCATTTATCGCAAGAAGTAATAAGTAAAAATTGTTTATATTTTGATATTGGCTACCTACAATGAATATATAAAATTCACGTGGATATATAATATTTGAATGAATGAATTTAATAAGGGCAAAATTGGAAATGACGTGGATATCAAATAGTATTTTTTTAAAATTTTATTAGGGATGAACTTAGAGTGGAATGTACTAATAAAAAACGTGGATGAAAATAGCGGTATCCGTTTTATTCTCTCTATTTCTTTCTCCTTACCTCTTTAGCTTATGATACGTTATCAACATGATTGCTCTTTTTATTTATAAGATTATACAAAATATAATTATGTATTTTATTGAAAATTTGTGAACTACACAGTTGAAGTTTTGTAGATATCACGAATGTCATTTGAGGTTCGAAACCCAAGTAAGTTTATACTATAAATAAATTTATTGTATTTTTTAATATTTGATGTATATCATGATCTATAATTTTTATTTAAATATGTTAAATATTTTGATTTTAACTCTTGCTCTTGAAGAAGCATATTCATAAATATCAATATTCTTGAATAATATATTGTTTTTATTTTTGAGTAAATTTATATAAATTAATATAGGAACATTGAACCATTGTTTCAAAAGAACACTATTAGAAGAATACTATGTTATTGTTCTTAAATAAATATAATTTTTATATATCAATTTCTTAAGAAGTACTGTATTGTTACGAAAGTATATAAATATAAAATCAATATTATAGAAGATTATTGAGTTGTGTTTATGTATTAATATTTAAGAAAATTTTATTTTGCTGCAAAAAAAAATTTAAAAATAAATATTTTCCCGTAATTCTCAAAGATTGACTTTAAAAATATCAATAATTTTAAAAAATATTATTTTAATGCTCATGAAGAAGTAAAAATTTGTATTTAAAATAATATTCTAGAAATATGTTATTGCATGTACCACAATTTTATATGCATCAATATTTTTTGAGAAAAAAAATTGATTTATTGAGATATTTCTTTTCTTTTCTATATATTTTGTTAGATCTTTGAAAATATTCACAACTATGTTCAAAAAACTATTTTAATCGAGAAAATAAGGATATTGTTCAAACGGTTTCAATACTTGAGGCAAGTATGACAAGCTATATAATTTATTAATTTTTATTTTCATTTGCATATGTGTTGAGTGCGGATGAAGCTTGATGTACAGACCTACCGAGCACTCACATCATGGGATGGGTGGGGTTTTCCAATTTTTTATTAAAAATAAAAATCCGTTGAGTACATAATCTTGTTTGGTGCGAACAATGTTGACATATAATCGACTTCATCTTCAATGTTATGATCATAACAAACAAAATTAATATTGTTTCTAACAATTTATTGAGTGGTGATAGTTCAATTTTAAAATCAATCAAATATTATATATCGGACTTGAAATGAAGACCAAAGTAAAAGTTAAGAATTCAAGTCAAATCATTCGAAACGAGAGCTTAAAAGATAATTGCCATAAAAGATCAAGATGCCAAGAAAGATCAAAATCAAAAGCATAAGAGACAGCATCAATAAAAGATCAAGACGAGAAGTTCAAGAGCCAAACATGAAAGAAACTTTGAAGCAAGATCAAAGATTAAGCCATCTAGATCATATGTAAGTGTATAACACTTTTATCTTTAGTAATGAATGACAATAGCTCAGAAATCATTTCGTGCACAAAATATTAGTTTCACTGTCATTTGCATAAAATATTTTAATCAAAATTAAATTTGATTTTTCAAAATCATACTTGAACTTAGATCACAATTCTAAAAAAAAGTCAGCGATCAATCGAACATGACCAGTGGACGTTCGATTCGCCAACAGTCAAATTTTTTAACCGTTGCACAACGCCTAGCTTGATTGTCTGATTGACAAATGAACGTCCAGATGGGTCGTCTAGTTGGGCACAATTTTTCTGTTTTGATTGCTATAAATATCATTTCACTTTCACTCATCACAACAACCATGAAAAGAGCTTCCTTGTTAAATATATTTGTGAAAAATCTTCTTTGAGCTTACATTTTTATTTTCATTTCATTTATTTCTTCATAACAAAAACTTTAATTGTTAAATCAAATTTATTGAATCAATTTCTCTCATCAAAGTTTTTCATCTCTGTTTGTTCTTAACTTATTTATATCAATCTTAAAAGAGATATATATTTTTGAAGGTCTTTGCACTTATATTGCATAATCCTTTCTACTTTTTTTCTTAGTACTTCACTTATTACAATCATTCATTTAAAGAGAGATATTTGTTGAGATGATTTTTTGAATTTACTTTGCATTTATTTCTTCATAATCTTCTCATTGAAAATTTTTGATTGATTAAATCTCACTTTTAATTATTATACTTATCAAATTTTTCTTCTAACGCTTGAACTATCATTTATTACCATTCATTAAAATGTTAGTCTCTCTTAGTACTTAATTTGTTTTGCACTATTTATCAAGAGATGATTTTATTGTAAAATCACTTTAATAAAGTGTAGATCATATTGAGGTTCCGTAAAACTCAATAGGTGGGTCATATTGAGATTTTTTAAAGCTCAACATTATATAAGGATTGTTACTAATTGTTTATAATGGGGTGTTTGATAGACATTTTTATATAAAAATGTATTTTAGAATAGTAAATTGATGTGAAATATGTGATTGAAAAATAAGAATTTTTTTTTATTTACGTGTAATATTATTTTAGTAAAAAATGTGTGGTTAAAATGAAGAGAAATAAAAATACATTTGGAAGAAAATGGCTACAAAATGGGGCCTAAGTTATCGGAAACATTGTAAAGGGTTAGATTACACCGTAAAGGGTTACATTACATCGTAAGTTAATGAACACAATGAAAAGGCCTTACTCGTGCCAGAGAACTTGGTAACGGAGGACATGGATCATTGCTTTAGATCTAACTTCCACAATTATATCATTTCCATCATCTCTCCCTTTTACTTATCAATTTTATATTGCACTTATTATTTGAATTTACCCCTTTAGTCTTTACTTGTTTTTGTATCTATGCATATTTGTTTAATTGTCTTGTTTGCTATCATAATGGTTTAAATCTAGAATTCATTTTTAAAAAAGTTTTAAAAATCAATTCAGCCTCCTTTTGATTAGTCATTATTAGGCTTTCAAACAAGAGTTCGAGTTTGGGAGTATTTGATAAGTATGTTTTTAAGTGCAGTATGGTTTGATAGGATATTTGCATTCTTACCCTTCACAACTTTTTTCATCACGTTACCTATGATTCGAATATAAAATATCTATCTTTTGAGATATTTAAGTTGAAATCTGGCACCAATCAATGGGTTAACTTACTCAATTGGTACTGAAATTCAATTTAAGTTTTTACCTATCAATTAATGTCACATTAGTGCCATCTCGACTGGAGTTGCAACTCTAGTGTGACTACATAGCATTACTCGATCTTTTTAGGTCTTGAAACCTTTAAAATTGACCTAAAAAAAAACACTTGAAATTAGCAAAATACTTAAAATAATACGTTGTGGTAGTTCAGAGGTCTCATGCATCGCTATTCCCCCAGTACATGCACGGGAAAACAGTAAGCTAGTGCATGCAAGCGCCACATGCCTATCAGCTGAAGTGAATTGCCCATTTTTATAGCCTCAATCCCTGAACTTTTAACTTCTTCCATTATGGTCCCAATCTTCTAAAACTGTTCATTTTGGTTCTTATTCTCCTTTTTATCTTTTTTTTTTTTGGGCTTTCACCATTCCATATTCTTACTCATCTTCTCATCATCTCTTGAACTTGTGCAAGAGGCAGAGGGAAGGGCTAGGTCTGAGCCTGTACCCAAGCCCAATTAATTTTATAAGAAAAAAGAATTAATGATTTTATTTCAATAAATATACGTAATATAATTTTATTTTTTTATTATTATTATTTTTCTTGGTCTCCCTTGGCTCTGCCATGGACTCATATCATTTCCTTGTTTCTTGTCCAACATCATAATCAACCTAAAACATAAAAAATAGCAATAAAATCAATAGAAATCATACTTTTAAACTTAACAAATATGTAAATTTAAGGCCTCGAGTAAATGCGAAATATACAATTATTGATTGTATATAAGTAGTCTAGCACATGCACGTGTATAGCAATATGTTGTATTGATACTGTGTCTTAGATACTTTAATCTTAGGATAAAGACAATATATAAATGTACCTAGCAACAATAAATCTTATATAATCACGTAGAAGAACATTATAATATGAATAAGATCATCTTGTACTGTAATTTCACCGCTATTTACCTTTTCCTTTAGCAATTCTAACATTCAATATTTTGTTCCTTTACATTTCGTATCTATGTTAACATCTTTTCCAGTCAA